TTTACAGATAAGGAAACTGAGGTACAAACAGGCTAAATGACTGTCCATACAGCTAGTAAGTGGTAGTGAGAGTGAAGGGAAAGTATCAGTTGCTCAGTCGTGTCTGACTCTTTGAGACCCCCTGACTATAGCCCGCTCCTTTGTCCATGGGATTCTCCACCAAGAATACTGGAGTTGGTTGCCATGCCCTCCTCCAGGGGATCTTCCCAACCCAGGGATTGAACCCGGGTCTCCCACATTGCAGGCGGATTCTTTACCATCTGAGCCACCAGGGAAGCCTGTGGTGGTGAAGCTGTATTCAAACTCGGGTAGCCGACCTCAGTGTCTGTACTTCATCACTATCCGCACCGTCTCCCTGGGTTTATGTTCTTTAGGCCTGGTGTCGAGCTAAAGATATTAGTTTTAAATTACAAGCTGCCAATTTCAGTGACTAGGTAGGCTGAGAAATCTCCATTAATTTGGATCCATGTTCGATTTGCTAGGAGTCTTCATCTAGGCTACAGAAGGGAGAGACGTAGGTCAGATAACCTGCTGTGGTCAACATTTAAATAAAAGATTCATCATTCACTCCCTTGACTGTGATCTAGGACTCATATCAGATCTCAGTCGCTGACAGTTTTCTTCACATCTACTGGAGAAATGTGTTCTTTGCAGGCTGAGAGGCCTCATAGTCACCCTGTTCTTGGGAAATAAACTAAAGACCTAGAGCCTCCTTCCAACAGGGGAAAGTCTCCTAGAACTGTCCACTGTTGAGAAAATGAATGCAAGAAAAGCAATAGAGCCTAGAAAACTGGGCAACAGGCAAATTCTCAGTTGTCTTTACCAGGTACCCAGCAGCCATGGGTATACTTCTGCAAGACAATGGTCCAGAGCCATTCTCCGGGCTGCCAGTACAGACAGTGCCTTAGACCCCTGCCTCCTTGGCACATCAGTGTCTGGCCTTCCATTTGAAAACCACAAATATTAGCACTCAGAGGAAGGTTACCTCAGTCCTTTCTACTGACACATGAAGAAACCTGAGGTCAAATTTGGAGACCAGACACATGTCATGCAGGGGGAAAAGAAAACAGATGTTGGGGAGGATATGTGAGGATTTCTGCCCCATTTCAGAATGGAAGGCTCTTCTGTGTTTAGTTTTGATTTTCTCCATTTCCCAAATGTTCCACATTGTTGATTCTGTTAGTCCAAAACATAGCCACTATTCACCAGAATTTTTCTCCAGGCTCCACATGGTTCCCAATATACCCAAAAAGCTCTATTAACTTCAAGTCATCCTGAGCTCTCCAAACATCCTTTTCTTCCCACCCACTCTTCATTTCAGAGTATGAAAAGAAGCTGGGCTTCACAGGTGGTGCTAGTGGTAAAGAAAGTGCCTGCCAATGCAGGAGACATAAGAGACATGGGTTTCATCCCAGGGTTGGAAAGATCCCCTGGAGGAGGAGATGGCAACCCACTTCAGTATGTTTGCCTGGAGAATCTCATGGACAGAGGAGCCTAGAGAGCTACAGTCCACGGGATTGCACAGAGTCAGACATGACTGAGCCACTTAGCACACACATAAAAAGAGAATCATCCCCATTAACTCATGTGAACCAGAAAAACATCATCACTCATAATCTTGCTCCATTTATAACAAGAGCAAGCATTACTGGATCAGTCCTATTCTTAGAGCTTTACAAACATAACTCATTCAACCCTCATCACAATCCCAAGAGGCAGGTGTTCTCATGATCACCATTATAAAGATGAGGAAGCCAAGGCACATTTACGGACATGTCTTAGGACCCACGATCAGTAAGAAGTTAGAGGCCAAGAATTCCACAATGATTGGGTTCTTGAAGACCTGCTTAAAAGTCACTCTGGGTCCCATCCAGTAATGAGTTCTGACGTCCTCCCAGGTTCCTAAGCATGGCGCTCAGAAGGAAACTAACTTTCCCACCTGCCAGCTACTGTCACTGTCCCTTCTCAGCTCTTCTAAGGGCCTGTTCTAGCCTCATCCCCACGCCCCAGTCTGCTGTGCTATTTCTCATCCACTGTGTTGGGAAATCACAACACTTGGCAATGGCATTCTGAATTTTCTAAAAGGCTCAATCAGTATCTATTAACTTCATCTCTTTCTGACTTTAAGTTCCATCTTGAAAAAATAAGTTAGAAATCATGGCAGAGAGACCCAGTGGGAGTTTGGGGCATCTCCACCATCCAGAAAGGTCATGGACTTGAGCAAAGCCTTGGACATGGGTGCACTAAATCACCTGAGGCGTCTCCCACTCCTTCCAGGTGTGTAGGTTCTAGGCAGTTACCAGGGGGCAGGCCTGCAGGATCACTAAGGTGTTTGCCTGCAGTCTCATTTCATCACTCGCCCACAAGGCAGAAAGGACTGTGGCCTGCCCTTGCCAGGGAACATGCCCAGAGTCACATGAAATCGGCATCCGTGAGGTTTCTTTGAGGGAAGTAACTTAATTAATTAATTAATTAATTTTTTACTTTTTGGCCACACACTGCAGCATGTGGGATCTTAGTTCCCTGACCAGGGATCAAACTCGAACCCTCTGCATTGGAAGGTGGAGTCTTAACAAATGGACCACTGGGGACCAGGGAAATCCCAAGGGAAGCAATTTAAAAGCATTTACCCAGAGGGTCCCCAGACTCAGGAAGCACTTCCACATGACTCAGGATTCTGTTTCTTCTCACATGGGCTCAAAGAGAATGTCAGATTCAACCCGCATACTCGCTTTCCTTCACTGAAAGGGCTCGACTCCTCTGCTTACAAGAAGTGAGTGTCATATCCTACCCGGTTCCTGGTCAGCATCTGCATCAGGGCAAACATTTCTGAGATGGGACTAGATCAGCAGCATGGCCTCATTACTATGGTGTGCTGATTTGGGGAAGGAAAGAGTGGAAGAAATAGAGCTCTGAACCAGAGGGGAGCCAGACCCATAGTTCTTCTCTCCCTCTTTTGATAAACCACTCTGTGGCCTGGAGCAAATCACTTAATCTGTCTCAGTTTTCTGAGTGGTAAAATTGGGTCTACCACCTACCCTACTTTTATCTGTGAGCTGCTGGATTAAATAAGGTCAGCCGCTGGAAGCATCCTGAAACACTACCTGCTTCCAACAAGCCATGACAAAGGTTGTCTTGGTCCTTCCCTGTGTTTTCAGCCCAAGTCACTGAGAGTCTACACTTAATACTGACCACTAAGTCACAATACCGGGTCATGCACTTCAGAAGCAAGAGTTGAAGAGACTCAGATCTAAAACTAGAAAACCATGATCAGGAAATAAGTCCCTTCTTGGGCTTGTGGTAATATGGTAATTCCTCACTTCTCCCCCTACACCCTGTTTCTTAGTCATTGCCTCTCTCTTGGAGACAAAAGAGGGCTACCAGTCTCCCTATAGGGTACCACCAACACGTCAGAACGTCTACACTCCTTGAGCCACTGATCCCTGCAAAAAAGACTCCTTTAAGCCCACAATTATGCTCCTTCACTGATACATTGATTGTAATAAGTCAAAGGCACATGAAACACTACTTACTTCCAACAAACCATGATGAAGTCTCACTTGGCCCTTCTGTGTTTTCAGCCTGAGCCACTGAGAGTCTGCACTTACACAGACCGCTAAGCCATGATGCTTAGCGGTCAGTGTAAGTGACCACAACTCTCAACCTCAGTAGACTTTTTCAGTACCCACCTAAAAGTTAGTCCTCAAACCGTAACAATCTCTAAAGACTCCAAATAACAAGCTACCAGACACTAGACAGAGGCTATATCTCATCAAAGTTCTAATAGGCCACCTCCACCTATCTTTTTGGTAAGAACCTTTTGGTCCCCCTTATCAGAGAGGTTATGGGTTGTTCCCCCTCCCCTCCAAAGTAAATGCCTTTGCCTTTTTTTGTTGTTATAACTTTAAATGAACACTCTCTCTTAAGTGGCAGACAGTCATCACATTTTCCAGAAGGAGAAATGGAAACAGCAGGAAGTCAAGTCATTTTGCCCAGTGTTTGCTGTTTTTCACAGCCTCAGCAATGAGGAGCTTTGCTTCAGTGACTCAAGACAAAACATATGTCCAAGGCTCTGATTCCAGAATTATTGAAAACCTGGAGAGGGAGCCAGCCAAGCTTTCCCCACTCAACTGAACCTGGCCACGTCAGTAAATGCCTCTAGGTTGCAGTTTTCCCATCTGTGAACTCTGGGCTAACGGAGAAACCAAAAGAAGCTGAGGCTTTGGCGAATCCACAAAAACTACACTACATTTCTAGGGATGAAATGCAACTTTAGAGTCCCCAAAAGCAGGCAAAGTTAACTGAAGATGCTTCCTTCTCCTCCCTCTCTAGAATTCACATCTTCCCACAAATAAAGCACCCTGAAACTCACAATCCTCTACAGTGGTCCTGACTATGCAGGTGGAGAGCAGCCTGTCCCAAGCCCCACCGAGAGGCATGCTTCTGGGCAATGAGCCCTGCACAGCTAACTCCAGCCTTGTTATTCTTGGGTCCACTGACACCCTTCAAAAAAACTGCCAGCTTCCTCCCAGTCAAAGGGCTGAAACAGACACCATAGATTACAGGGGAGAATGGCCCAACAGGCAAAATTTAACCAATGCTCTCAGAAGCTTCTTTGCACCAGTGGGGGAGAAAATTAGGTGAGAATATAGGGGCGTGGTTGGAATGTTTTTCCCTACAGAGGGCAGCCAAAGAGTATAAATGAAGTACAGGTGAGACCTCTGCCTCTCTCCAGCACACTCCCACCTAACGGTAGGACCGGTCTTGCTAAAAGATGGAGCCCTTGGTCCTTGAAAATGTCCGGTGCGACCCGGCTGACGTTTGCACAGGTGTGGTCATCACGCAAAGTCTGTAGACGTTATTTTGACATTTAAAACTGTTAAAGGCCACCAGCAGCCAGTTAAGAATGAATATGGGTGCATATGAACTAGAGTGCATTAAAGAGCTGGCGTCTCCCACTGAGGCTCAGAGAGGTGGGGTGGAGGTCGCGGGGACATTACCTGGTCAGGTCAAGGAAGGAGTCCACTGTCTCTTTGGGGACCGGTGGGGGCCCCGAATCCTCCAGACCCAGGTCGCTGGACTGAAGGGTCTGAGCGCCAGATCCAGGTTTGATGATGAACGCCAAAGCGACCGCGAGAGCCGAGGCTCCTAGCGTGGTGAGGCCGAAGTAGGCGATGGCGATGCCGCCCAGGCGCCCGAGAGAGCTGGCGTCGAGGGAGGCGGCGCCCGACACCAGGCTGCAGACCACCAGCGGCAGGATGATCATACGCAGCATGCGGAGCAGCATCTCGCCCGGAAAGGCCAGGTAGGTGACCTGTGTGCGATTCAGCTTGAGTCCACGCAACGCCGCGCCCAGGCCGGCACCCGCCACCACCCCGGACACCGTGAGCAGCACAAGCCCGTGGCGCCGCAGGAAGCCGGCGCAGCGCCCCGCGCGTCCAGCAGTGGTCCCGGGCTCGCCAGGCCCCGCTGCAGGCCCCTCCTGGGCGCTGTCTAGGTAGCCGTTGGTCTCACTGCTTTTCTCCATGGCGCTGTCCGCGGCTTCGAGCTGGAGAAGGCGGGCGACTCGCGCTCCGGGAAAAGACTCGGCTCTCAATGAATGGATCCCGTGGAGCAGGCGAGGTCCGCTAGCTGTGCCTAGCAGGTTCTCGGAGTCCGCCCGCTGGGGTCCCCCGGCTTTGGCGCTGGAGCAGGTGTGGGAAGGGCCAGGACAGACGCGGGAGACCGAACTAGAGCCCCGGCCTGAGTGGATCGCGCCGCGCCCAGCCTTTCACTGCGGTCACTGACTGAAGATGATGCAATGAGGGAGCTCGCAGAAGCGGAGAAAAACCCGAGTGCAGAGCGGTCTGGGCCCGCCCCTTCACACCCACTGCCCCGCCCCCTGCGGTTCCGCCAATCAGCATCCGAGAGGCGCCGCCGCGCGCCTCTTGCCGGGCCCCAGGCCACCGGCGCGGGGGGAGGGGCGGCCGCGTTGGGGCCGCCGCCTGAAGCCGCTGAGGCGCGGGGCGAGCCGGCCAGTCCCGGCCCCCACAGCCTCCTAGGCCGGCTCCCGGCGACCGCGGGGCGTGCCACGGCCTGAGGGACGGCCCGGGCTCGTTGGCACCTGCCGGGGCCTCTCGGGCCGGCCGGGGTCTGGGCCCTCGCGGCCAGAGGGTCGGGGAGAACGTGGAACGCGGCTGCGTTCCTTGTCCTGGGGGTTGGGGGAGGGGATGCCGGCACCGTGGTACTGTCGCTCCAGTGCCGCCCGCCCCTCCTGCGAAGGGGCCTCGCGCGGTGGGGGGGATCCTGGGCGGTCCTCCCACCACATCTTACTCCTGCGTCAAGTACCCCAGTCTAGTCCTGTGTGGTTGCGTGCGATAAAGCCTTCACCCGGCGCAGGCCTTGACGCTGAGACAAAGGATGGATGGGTGGGTAGGCAAATGCAAAAACCTTATCACCCTCCCAATAAGGGGTCTGACAAAGCTTTACTCGTAAGTGAAACGGGGTTCTTAATCTAGCCCCTATACCCTGCCACTTCGCGCACTCGTGTGCTGCTAGGCCCTTGGCCTGAGGCCATTTGGATAGGCCCTGGGTCGCCCAGCAGCTGTCTTCCGTTCTGTGAGCTGAGGACCGAAACTTGGAAAAGAAACAGAGCTCTCACCACCACTTCCAGTTGCGTTTGTTTCTACATTGTACCTTCAGTTGAAGCAAACAAGCCACTGGCTTTTAACCTTTTCCGTCCCCTGATCCCCAGCCTTCCCATGAAAGAAAGTGCACACACAGATTCAGCCAGCCTGCTGAGATGTTTCCCTAAGGTTCACATTAGGTTCGTCTCCTTTTTATTTCAAGTTTTATTTAACAACTGCTCTGGTCTTGGCAGATATGAGAGAAGTCTCTGCAGAGGCGTCTTACTGTCACATTTATTAATTAGATTTTCATATTCTCTCTGCTTTTGAAAGGAATTGTTCTTTTAAGACATCTGTGGAAGGGAGGTCTTCTTATGTGTAGCTAACCTGAGTTAAGGAGGAAGACAGTTTACTATAGATCCTTTGGTGAAAAGGAGTCATCTTTGAACATGTGAGCACAGCTATCTGTGCAAATCATAATGCCTTAGTGAAGAACTCTAAGGAGCTGTCCACATTTTGAGACAGCAAGGATTTCATTGCTTGAAGCCAGACAGCTTGTAGGGTTTTTTGAGGGAGGGGGTATAAATCAAGTGAAGAGCTTACATATTTTTATCTGGTTTTGCAGAGCAAAGTTTATTTCTCTGTGTGCACTGAAGAAAGAGACACACTATAGACACACTCTCTATTTTGCCAAGCAGCCCCTCCCTTCATTTTGACTACCACTTTTATGCAAAGGGCTGTCAAATCAAGCTGCAGAAATGAATTTCCAATGGCCTGCTTTACTTCTCCACCTGGGTATCTTGCAGGAATCTCAACTCAGTATGCTCAGGACTGAACTCCTACTTGTCTTCCTCAAGGATGCCTCCTTATCCTGCTGATGCCCCTATTTCTGTTACCAGTATCTTTGACTTCCCAGTCACCTCTGCTTGAAACCTCAGAATGACCTTTGATTCTTCCTGGTGTCTCCTCTCACCTGACCTATTGCCAAGTCCCACAGACTTTCCTTTCGCAATATTTAGCCTGTCCACCTTTCCCATCTATTCTCAAAGCTGCCATTCTGGCTCAGTTCTTATTTCCACACCTCTTATCTTCACCGTTTAGGTGTTCTCCTAATTAGTCTTCCCACCTCCAGTGCTACTCTGTTCCAGCCATCAGGTGTTTTGTCTTACCCCAGGCCAATCTTCCTAATAAATAATATGCATATTAGGATCTGGTTAGGCTTCCATCCAGAGGGGAAAAATAAGAAGGAGCAAGGCCTTCTCCCTCTGAGGACACTTCCTAAAAGTTGCACACACTATTTCATTTCTATTTCATTCACCAAAATCCAGTTACATGACCACACCTAGTTTCAAGAGAAGTTAGGGAAGCAGTCCTAATTTGCACAGGCATTGCTATTGCTGAGTCACTTCAGTCGTGTCCGACTCTGTGCGACCCCACCCCTGGGATTCTCCAGGCAAGAACACTGGAGTGGGTTGCCATTTCCTTCTCCAATGCAGAAAAGTGAAAGTGAAGTCGCTCAGTCATGTCTGACTCTTTGCGACCCCATGGACTGCAGCCCACCAGGCTCCTCCGTCCATGGGATTTTCCAGGCAAGAGTACTACCGGCATAAACCCAGTTAAAAACTGGGGTTTCTATTACCAAAGAAGTAGGCAAGAATGATCTTGGAGGGCAACTCCTTCAGATCACTTCTTGTTCAAAAGCTGTCAGGGCTCCCACTGAAATAAGAAAATGCTTTCCATCCTGTATTCAAAACTTACCATGATCAGGCCTCAGCTCACTCTCCAGCCTTGTGCTCTCTCTCAGTGCGTGCTCAGTTGCTCAGTCATGTCCGACTCTTTGCAACCCCATGAATTGTAGCCTGCCAGGTTCCTCTGTGCATGAGATTTCCCAGGTGAGAACACTGGAGTGGTTAGCCATTTCCTTCTCCAGTGGATACTCCCAACCCAGGGACTGAACCCGCATCTCCTACATTAGCAAGCAGATTCTTTACCGCTGTGCTCTCTGTACGTGCAACAAAATCAGACGGTGCTGCTTCCACACATTCTGGCTTCTGTACCCAGTCCCAGTTCAGATACCACTTCTCTCCCAAAGCCTTTCCTAATGCCTGTTGCTCTAAGTCTGCCTGCTGCTCATAGCTTTGGGGGCTGTTCCCATGCACTTCACAGCTGTGTTAATAGTTAACCCTCCATTGGGAATGGGAAGCTCCCTGCACTGTTAGCACTCATATTGGGTATGACTGTGGTGCTGAGTGGGAGAGCAGTGTTCGTGGGTGCCTTATGCTGTGCCACATGCATCTATCATTTAACTAGCAAAAGCTCCCTTTAAAGAGGAACTGGTCTGTTGGGACTTCTTACAAAGACTGGTTGCCTAGCAGTAGTACTGCCTACAAATGAAGTAAACCGAGAAACAGGTGTCCACTCATGTCCCCCAACAGCTGACAAAGGGTTTCACTTTCTGCCTTCTTTTTCTCTCCTTATTTCTTTTTTTAATCCCCTCCATTTGTTCACCTATTACATTTATTTTGTCTCTTCATAATTTTTTAAAATTTATTTTATATTTTATTTTTTTATTCATGTGGCTGTGCTGGGTCTTAGTTGCAGCATGCTGAATCCTTAGTTATGGCATATGGGATCTAGTTCCCCGACCAGGGCTCATACTTTGTTTTGCTGCATTGAGAGTGTGAAGTCTTAGCCACTGGACCACCAGGGAAGCCCCTCTTCATAATTTTTCATTCCTCCTCCTTGTAGGGATTTAGTATCAATAAATCAATAGAGGGATTTCCCTGGTGGTCCACTGACTAAGACTCCACACTCCCAATGTAGGGGGCCTGGGTTTGATCCCTGGTCAGGGAACTAGATTCCATATGCTGCAACTAAGAGTTCACATGCCGCAACTAAAGACCCCGAATTGCACGATGAAGATTGTGCATGCCGCAGCTAAGACTTGATGCAGACAAATAAAAATAACTAATAATAAATATTTTTTTAAATGAATACATATTATAAATCAATAGAAATTGACAAATAGATATTTTTATCTAACTTCGTATGTGATGACAGCATCATATTTTCCACATTGTTTCACTCAAATTGCTAGTGGCATCACTAGAATCACATCATCTGGCAGGAATTATTTTCTACCAAATGGAGTGAAAAAAGAAAGTTGTATCCTTCATCACAGGCAAATTTGGATTCTAGAGGGCTCCTTTTCATTTACTAAGAGACACCAGATATTTTAACAACCGTATTGAAAAGGTTAAATTTCTGTGTAATTCTTTCTAAGGTAGCAAAACACAGCTTTGCGGAAAATCTATTGTAATTTTCAAAAATAGAATATTTGCTTTTCAAATAGATCAGATTACCTAGCAAACAGAGCAGGCAAGTTGAAAAAACAAAATAATAAATGTTCTTTTTCTCCCATGATGAACAACTTAGTTCAAAGTGGCATACTGGAATCAAAGTGTGGGTCACTTCTCAACCTGTAATCATCCCTCTGGGCTCCCCTCTACATCATCTGTACCCACCAAAAAGAAAAAAACAGGGGGGGTGTTGAGGGGTAGGGGGCCATAAAGATGTCCCTAGAACCAAAAGGTCAGGCACAGACTCAGATAAACAATTTGAGTCAACACTAAAAGGGAATTTGGTCAGAGTGAGTAAAAGGCAGGGAGAGCAGAAATAAGATGCCTGTTCCTATGGTTTTAGAGAAAAGCTAAGACTCTGTGAATGGACATTTTCTTCTGAGAGAACTGGTGAAATACGAGCATTGAAAGAGATGAGTTAAAAGATGGGAAGGTAAATTCGTTTGGTGTCTGTGTTTTGTGGACAAGGGTTCTAAGAATGGAGGTTGAATTCAGCGACACAAGCAGAGGTTTACAGAGTTGCTTACCGGGAGTAAATCACTCTGAAAGGCCCATACAGTGAAACACAAAAAAAGGGAATATGAACTATCTAAGGAGCTGCTTAAAATGCATACTCCTGTGCCCAGAGGAAGACCTAGGAATCTGCCTTGCAAAAAGCCAGTCCTTCCCTTCCACACTCCTCTACTCCCATGCTAGATTATTCAATTAAAAAGTACTTACAAGGACAATGAATTAACAGAATTTAGAATTAAAGAGAAGTATAAGATAAAGTCTAGGGCCAGGCTTTCAAAACCTGTCACTCAAGTTGTGAGTATAACGTTAAGAGGTGAGAAACAGGTGGGATTTGAGGGGAGTGGCAATGGTTAGGGAAGAGAAGAGATAGATATCAATAATAATGAGGTATAGTTCTC